ATATATATATATATATATATATATATTGTATGATTAAACTTTAATATATAATTCTTGAAATTTAGATTATATAATAAAAAAATGGTTATGTATTTGTATCATGGGAAAGTTGATTTATATTGTATTATCTAATTTTCAATATAAAATTCACAAAAAGGATTCTTACGAACTAAAAGCCCAACCCACATAAAAAGAGTTGTTGGATATTAATTCTCACGTTACAGTCTCAACCTAATTAATCTTCGATGTCACCTCAATCTCAAGTTTCACCCATCCTCCATCTCTTCCTAATTAGTCATCGTGCAACCACCCACCTGCAAATATAACTCTCTAAATGGAAGACGAAGCAATCGGAGAAGGCAGAACACCTCTGTTACAGTTCATACGTGTCTCCTTCTCATGGCCATCATCCTCTGATTCCGCTCTATTCTTGCTCGTTCGAGAAGGCAGAACACAGACTCGCACTTTTTGCTTGTTGCAGGTGAATAAAATCGGCACTGAAAGAGAAAAGAAAGTGGGAAAGAGGCGCTGAAAATTGGAACGTAGGGCAAGGGCATTTTTGGAAAGGACTCTCTCTTTCTCACTCAGACGACTTCCCTCATCTTTTCCGCTCAGATCTAGCTTACTGAATCAGACATCCAAAATCCTCTTAACAAACAACTTTTGCTGACCGAGTCAGCCAGAAACGTCTGACCCAACTCGGTCAGAAGTATATCAAACACAGCCTATCACATAGATTCTGAATGCCTGAATTACCAACTTCACATTAGTGCTTTACGAAATGTAAGACATGTTTTGAGTGATTTCTCTAATTACTAGTTCCCCTTAGTTTTTGTAATTATAACTTTGTTTTGTGACATATGCATAGTTGATTAGAACAACGTTTATGACTTTCGTATTGTTGTTAATGTTATATCATATATAATTTTTAAAAATTGTGTCTCCTAAACATGTATCGGGTAGTGAAAAACTATATCTATATATATATATATATATATATATATATATATATATATATATATATCTTTATCCAAAAAAAAACCTCAAGTTTCTTCTTAAAATCAAAAATATTAATGTTGATAATGCATGTGTTGATAGAGATCAAAACTGTCACACCCCCAAACCAGACGACGGAAACGTCCGGGGGGATGACTTCATTTGTGGTATCACAACACATGCATTATAGTAATCAGAGTACAAACAACCACCGTATTTAAAAAGTATAAGTATTTACATGTGTTTCATCATTGTATACTGAAACCAAATAGTTATACAAAAGAAGAAGACAAGACTCAAAATAGCTCGATCTTCTCAAAAGCTCGGGAAGTACCTGTCTACCGGTTTCCTGAGAAATACAAGTAATTTGAAAAGAGAGTATCAACATAAAGTTGAGTGAGTGCATAAGTATTTATGTTTGAAAGTATGTTTCTGTTTCTTGAATATGTATACTGTTCCAGAAAATCCTTTATTTTCTGCTGTATATATGAAAGTAGTTTTAATCTCATAAAATCGTTCTATTTGTAAACCAATGTTTTGTATTTGTATTCCTTTATGTAAAACTTGTATCTGTGAGTGTGCCTGGTTCCACCAACTGTTATTGTAAACTGTAATGTAATACTGTAAATTGTATCTTGTAAAACTAGTACTTTGGAAATGTACTTAAGTTTAGTTAATTATACACTAACGTATTGTTAATATCTTTTTAATGAGTTTTTATAACCATACTGACTAGATGGCCTGACCCAACGCTATGAATGCGTTGTAAGCTGTTGATAACAACTGTCACTCGTAGGCGTGTATGCCTGACTGTAGCTAGCAGTCTGAGTGCGGGGTTGTCAATCCCAATATAGATCTATACACACATTGTTTCGATAGGACTTTAACTATATTGTTTAAATGAATTAAACAACCTGTATCAAATGACTCATAAAAAGCATATAAACGTTACATGTATAATAGTTATGAAAACCCAATCATTCTGAAATAAATGATTGACAGTATGTTCTTGAATTAGTATTCTTAACATGTATCTGAAAGATGTATACCCTTGATTAGTTTTGAATCAAACCTTTGTTCTTGTAAAACAATGTACTTTAGTATACTTGAATTATGAATTAATGTTCTGTGATTCATAAATTATACCTATTATAATTTATATGTACTTTCTGAATTGATACCGAGTATTCATGAATGCAACCCCTTGCTCAACATGTTACAAAGGGTATTTGAACTGAATGAAATAGCTTTTATACTTATATACATATACAAATATATATAAGTAACATTTAAATGACA